GCGACTGTGCCTTCATTTTTAATATTTCAGAGACATACTATGCATCAAAATGTAGGTCTGGGTCTTGTGATTCTCACAATATAAAGCTCTTCAGTGTAGAATTTACAATTTTTAAACTACAACCGTCTGAAGATGGCAACCGCCAGTGAAGTGAGCAAGTCGGAGCAGTTTGTTTTTTTAACCGCTCTTCTCTGCCCTTGCTGTAGAGTGAGTTGCCATAGGAACCCAGGTGTGTGAGCAGGCAGCAGAGTGACAAGCCACTCCACCCAGTTACTCCGCCCACTCCAGTTGTAGACTACTGGTGGAGGCAAGAACACTTCACACAATTTCCCCAGAAATTGTAGCTTTTCTACTTTTTCATGCTACTGGCATTTGTGCAACAATTTTTTTTTTTGTTCTATGGTTGAACTGGATGGACTTTTGTCTTTTTTCAGCCAGACTAACTATGTATGCAACAATGCTTTATTGTAAAAATTACCCAAGAAACAAAACGTCCAAGGCCAACACATTTCATAGGCATTACAGTGTCATTGGAAGGAATTGTGCCCCTTCATTGGCGTCATTGGAAGGAATTGTGCCCCTTCATTGGCAGGAATTGTGCCCCTTCATTGGCGTCATTGGAAGGAATTGTGCCCCTTCATTGGCGTCATTGGAAGGAATTGTGCCCCTTCATTGGCAGGAATTGTGCCCCTTCATTGGCGTCATTGGAAGGAATTGTGCCCCTTCATTGGCGTCATTGGAAGGAATTGTGCCCCTTCATTGGCGTCATTGGAAGGAATTGTGCCCCGTCATTGGAAGGAATTGTGCCCCTTCATTGGCGTCATTGGAAAGAATGGTTTAGCAGGTAACCACTTCCACTGGTGCTTGGACTGCCCAGGCGACTTGAGTGGAACTTTCCCTCTCCCCCTCCTTCCCCACAGTCTTCTGGGACACGTCACAGGTCCCACAAGACTACAGGGTTATTCCCAATGCACTGTGTGGCTCACGCATGCACACTGGGCAACTGGCTGTGAAGCTGCAAGCCATTACAGCCGGGTGCCCCCAGTTGAGATATCGGTGCCAGGCACAGAACGGCTCAGGTGGGCACATCGATGGCCCCTGGGACAGGCGAGTGTCTGTTTATTGAAAAAAAAAATCCATATTTGCTCAAAATAATTCGTCTTCACCTCAAGAATAAAAATATGCTGTATGTAGTGCAGAGAATATTTTCTCAGAAAAGTGTAGTCCTTAGCTCAAAGATAAAGACCTAACTGACATAGGGAAATACTCTCAGAAAATGGCAGTCTTCACTCCAAGAATATAGGCCTACAGAACACAAGCAGATATTTTACAGAAAACTGTAGTCTTCACTGCAGAAACAAGATCAATGTAATGTAGTCTTCATCTCAATGATTAAAATATATAGCATAGAGGAAATCGTTTCTAAGAAAACAGCCTTCATCTCAAGGAAGAAAGAGAGGTGGTGGTAAAGTCATGCCTTAAAAATAAAAATGCTGACCCTCCTGCAAGTTTAAGTCATAATGTACTAATATGCACCACATATTAGCACATTATGACAGACTACTGTCTCCTCTATAAAATAAATAAATAAATTGTAGCACCGAGGGGGGGGGGGGGGGGGGGCCGCACACAAATCACATGATTTGCATAGGAATGCGGTGCGGTTCCTGTGCGAACCGCATACGAAATACCGCACCACATGTATGTGAACCCAGGCTTAAGGTTATCTATGCAGCCATGTGACTACAAAGCTCATTCCTCTCTCTGTAGCTGACAGGCGTGAACTGCCTGAGCGCTATGGACACTGGTATGATGATATCGCAGTGATGTGTGTTGCCAGCCCTCCATAGTACACAGAACTTTGCATTGATGTGACTGCATAGAAAACCTTAAAGGATAAGTTCACCTTTGGGAACATGTTCCACCCTAAAAATTAGGGTGGAGCATGTTCCCAATGCTACAGCTGCGGCCCAATCCTCCCTCTCCCTGTGACAGCAGAACAGGGAGAAGTTCAGTGTTTAACCCTTCACGCCGGCGCCCTCCCGACCCTTTAAGGGTTCCATAAGCCGGGAGGTGGTGTTTAGGGTCATGTGACCGCCGTGATGTGCCGTCACAGGATCGGGAAAGGTCCCAATCGAAAGAGGAGATCAGGACCTTTCCGTGAGTACCAGACGTGTGCTGGGACCGCGCAGGGCGCGAGCTCTCAGCACATATGTCCTTTTTTAATAAAACACAAATGTTCGGCCCGCTCGGCGTCTAGGCCCAGACGCCGGGAGGCCACACATTTGTGTGCGGCAGGCGAAGAGGTTAACCACTTTTGCCCTCCTGAGGATTTACCCCCCTTCCTGACCAGGCCATTTTTTGCGTTACAGTGCTGCATTACTTTGACAATTGCGCGGTCACGCATCGCTGCACCCAAATGAAATTTACATTTTTTCCCACAAATTGAGATTTCTTTTGGTGGTATTTGATCGCCTGTGCGCTTTTTATTTTTTGCACTATTAAAAAAAAAAAAAAAAAAAAAAAAAAAAAAAAAAAAAGATAACTTTTTTTTTGCTATTAAACATGTCCAGTAAAAATAAATAAAAAAAAATCTAATTTAGTCATAAGTTTAGGCCAAAATGTATTCTGCGACATGTCTTTGCTAAAAAAAGAAAAACCCTATATGTAAACGCTATAACTTTCACCAATTAACTTACACAAACGGCAGTATAGATACTGGAATTATTTTTTTTTTTTTACTAGGAATGGCGGCGATCAGCAACTTATGGCAGGACTGTAGCGGACATTCTGACACTGGGGGGAACTGACTTGGTGTCACAGACATCCCCAGTGACACCAATACAGTGATCAGTGCTAAAAAAAAAAAAAAAAAAAACAGCCATCTAGAGCAGTGTGTCCAAGCCGACAGGGAATAGGACTGTTAGTAAACAAAGCCCTCCTCCCCGTTGGAGATCCTCAAGAATCACCGGGTGCTGGCAGGTAACCACGGGCTGCGACGCGGTGATTGAAATCCGCGGCCGCGAATTGCGGCACGGGTAGGGCACGCGTGACTCACTCCTACACGGAAATGCAAAATCACGTATATAAATATATACACACACACATATATACATACACATACATACACGTGATTTTGCACACCCCTGCTTCCCTATAGCATTATATCTGCTATAGGGTGGCGGGGAAACAGTTAAAGCAGCGTGGACACGCGGGGCTCTGCCAACACAGCCGCATCATTCATTCACCGAGTTCTCTGAATGAATGAACTATAAGTCCCCGACAGCCTTAGCAGCTGTCGACTTGTAGTTCTCAATGATCTACCATGGCGCTGTGGTAGTTCTAGGATTCTTCCTGGCAGTATATCGGCTTGCCTGTACATCCTGTGCGGGCAAGCAGATATACTGACAGGTCTGCAGGAGATCTGCATGGAACCAGCGATCACAATTCCTGCAACAAAAAAATTAATAAATGCACATTTTTTTACCTGCAAAAAAATTTGCATTTATTTTTTGTCAAAGGGTGAATTTGCCCTTTAAAGGATAAGTTCACCTTTCATAACATGTTACACCCATATTCAGGGTGTAACATGTTATGATCAGACCGGCACCAGCTTCGCCCTGATCCTCGCTTTGACAGCTAGCGGGGGATCTTCTCCCCCGCTGAGCTCCACAGTGCCGTGGTAGTGCATCGATTCTTCCTGTCCGTATATCTGCTTGCTCATACATCCCGTACAGCAAGCAGATATTCTAACAGATCTGCAGGAGACCTGCATGGCAGAAGCGATCTGCTGATGGCTGGTGCAATGGTTTCCAGGCTCCTGCAGACAAAAATAATACATGCACAGTTATATACCTGCAAAAATATGTGCATTTATTATTTTTTGCTAAAAATTGAACTTCTCTTTTTTTAAAAGGTAAAAGTATTCAGAAAGTGATTTATTAGAAAATGTATGCAGAGGAAGAAACCTTTCAGCCTACTTTCACACTGACTTTGTCTCCTCCGTTCAGCAGGGAATCCATGAACACATCCCCTGCTGAATCAGAGCAGAATGTGACGGATGACATTTTGTGATGTCTGTGCCCATTTCGTTTTTATCCACAATTTGGTCAGCACGGTCCTGTGGTTGCGCTGACCAATTAGCATTATGATGGATGCTCACTCCAGGGCTACGTATTGTGGAGTATGTCATACAGATGGCTACACCCGCTGCATGGGACATCATGACCGCCAAGTGCAGCAGGGTGCCAGGATATTTGGAGTTAGTTCATTTTTTGTGAAGAAGTGAACTTACCCTTTGAAGTGTATGTAAACCCTAACACATACCTAGTGAAGTGACTGACTTTGTGATACATGAAGATGAAACAAATCCTACTACACAAGTTGTACCCATTTATCTGGAAGACATTCCAAGTGGAGAAATTATACAGCTTGTCTGAGTTTTCAGAAAGCAGAGGGCGGGAGCTGAAGTCACTCTGTAGAGCTTACTGAGAGCTGACTGGAGGGAAGTGACACCTCCCGTTAACACAGGATCAGAGCTAAGGCTGTCAATCACAGACTGTGTTCTGGAGCTCCCTTCACATCACCTTGGTGTCAGGAAAACCTGTCAGAAGTAATTCATTCAGATAGCAGAGAAATGAGGCAGCAGAGAGTAATGACACTTAATACTCTGGACTGAGACAAGTACACACTATACAGGGATATACTTTGCTCATATTTCATGGCTGAAGTTTACAACCACTTTAAATCAACAATGCTGATCATTATAACAGCTGGATAGAGGGATCACATAAGATATATGCACCAGAGGGGAGGGAAGGGGGTTATGAAAAGGTGGAGGAAAGGGGTTATGAAAAGTGAAGTAACCCTTTAACCTCCCTGGCGGTTTTCCCAAATGTAGCTCGGGGTAAAATTTCAGAACCAAAAGCGGTAACCCTGAGCTACACTCGGGAATCCCCTGCAGCGTTGCTCCGGGATCCCTTCTGCACTTACCTTGTCCTTCTCTCCCGCGATGTCCCCCCTGCAGCGTCCCCGGCCGATGACGGCATCTCTCTTCCGGGTTCTGTTCCCTGCGATGTCGGGACGTACAGGAACGGAAGTGGCAGGAAATTTAAAAATGTCAAAAAGTGACATTCACTAAATACACTAAAATCACATAATAATAATAAAAAAAAAAAAAAAAAAAAAAAAACTGTATCAGAGCATTTCACATACATTTTGTCCCTAGTGCTTTGTCTTGTGCCCTGCCTGCATTTTTACTGTTCTTTCTGCCTGGAAACTGAGAAAACTCCATGGCGTCCAAAAAGCATCCCTTTAGGGCAAAAGCGGTTTTAGACCAGCTAGAGAACAGCGATAGTAAATCAGAACCACTTGTAGAATTGAGTTATAATGATTTGTGGGGAAATTTGTCAGACACTGAAAACGATTTTGCGACTGAACTCAGCGCTCTATTTCCAGTTTCAGTTTCTTTGGTTTGATTATATTATTGAATTAAATTTAATATTATTGTTTATTATATTATAATTTCGTGTTTCAAATTTTATCATACCCGGGATGTTTACTAGACTCTTGTTCGGACAGATTTCAGTGAGTTATTCCTAAGAATTACAGTCCTACAATAAAAAAAAACAACATATTTCCATGCAAAAAAAATGTACCGCTTTGAGCACAGAAATACTGACATAATCATACACCTACGGAGGTTAAGGGAACCTTTACAGAAAGCAATTCAGAGACTGCCATCGTCAATCTCAAAAAAACAAAAAAAACAAATTGTGTATGATCTCCTTTAGGGCTCCTTTACACTACAATCTCTTTGCCTATTGTGTGTTTACATGCATTTTCAGTGGGTATTTAGGAACAATTTTTTGTTTTCCAAATTCCCGTGCGTTTGGCCATGTGCATGCACTACTTTTGGAAATTAACTGCAACTGGATCACATGGTACTTTTCTACCATGCGATCCAGTGTGGGCATACACAGTGTTTGCGATCTGCATTTGGAGCGCTATTAACAATTCACTGCCACCCGCTGCAGATTGCAAGGGAGTGTATTCTGAATGCAGTGTGGGAAACCTACATGAAACGCAGGTTTCCCACACGGCATTCTAGCATGAAGAGACACTGTAGGTAAAAAATGTTCAGGTAGTGGCATATCCCTCATCTCTCCTTATACTTACCCGGGCCCTCACTCGATCCAGCGCGGTGCCCATCTGTAGCAGGTCTCACAAGCTTTGCTGTGGCAGTGGGAACCATTGACTTGTGCCGCTGTCAGTCAAATCCAGTTATGATAGAGCAGGAGGGTGGGGCTGAGCAGTCCGTATCAATAGACACAGGCAGCGTGGAGTAGGATTGAGCCTGCAGGAAGCAGAGGAATGGGGGGACCCAAGGAGAGGAGGATCGGGACTGCTGAATGGAAAATGGAATTGCACAGCGCAGGCAAGTATAAACCTGATTGTTATTTTAAAAACAAACAAAACAATCAAAATCAATTAGGATCTCCATACACTATACAATCTGATGGTACAATTACCTTTAGATCTACCAACAATGTAACATAAGGGCCTGCCTGGTTGGATATAAGTCTGCATGCACACTGGACATCTTTACAGCTTCTGATTTTGGCTTTTGTTTTTTTCTACAGCCAGTAAACTCCCCAGCATGTTCTCCTATGTGTCCAGGCACACATAGGCTTTTACCACTTGCCCTCCAGAGGATTTACCCCCCTTCCTGACCGGGCCATTTTTGCAATACGGCGCTGCATTTACTTTAACTGACAATTGCGCAGTCATGCAACTCTGCTACCAAATGAAATTTATGTCCTTCCCCCCCCCCCCCACAAATAGAGCTGTCAGTGGTATTTAATCATCTGTGTGTTTTTTAATTTTTGTGTTATAAACAAAAAAAGGCCTTAAAGTTTGAAAAAAAAAAAAAAAACAATATTTTTTACTTTTAGCTATAAAACATCCCATAAAACAAAAAAAAAAAAAAAAAAAAACAAAAAAAAAAAAAAATCGAATTTCTTCATAAATTTAGGCCAAAATGTATTCTGCTACAGGTCTTTGCTAAAAAAAAAAAAAAAAAAAATCCCAATACATGTAAATTAACCGGTTTACGTGAAAGTTATAGCGTCTATAAATGGCGGTATAGATACTGGAATGTTTGGGGTTTTTTTTTATACTAGTAATGGCGGTGATCAGCAACTTATAGTGGGACTGCAGTGGGTTGACACTAGGGGGAACTAACTGCCACTGACATCCCCAATGACACTAATGCAGTGATCAGTGCTAATAAAAAACACTGACACTGAACTAATGGCACTGGGCAGAAAGGAGTTAACATCTGGAGCGGTCAAAGGGTTAACTGTGTGCTTTTTTTTTTTTTTTGGGCAGCACAGTGGCTAAATGGTTAGCACTTCCGCCTGGCAATACTAGGGTCGTCGTGGGTTCGAATCCCAACCACGGCACCAACTGCTTGGAGTTTGCATGTTCTCCATGTGCCTGCGTGGGTTTCCTCTGGGTACTCTGGTTTCCTCCCACACTCCAAAGACATGCTGCTAGGTGAATTGGCTCCTGTCTAAAGTGGCCCTAGTATGTGTATGTATGAATGTAAGTTATGGACCTTAGATTGTACACCCCTTGAGGGTTAGGGACTGATGTGAATGTACAATATATATGTAAAGCGCTGCCTAAATTGACAGCGCTATACAAGTACCTGAAATAAATAAATACATTTTTACCATGTTGTGTTTTACTAGGGAGGCATGCTGCTTTGTATTTCAGTGCTGTGCAGAGAAATACAAAGCAGCATGTCTTTGCTGACAGGAGAGAGACCTGTGTTGTTTGCACACAGGTAAGTATATGATCCAAACGCACACGTTCCTGCGTTAAAAAATGGCTGTGTGTATGAGTGGGTGCTGCAGTGACCGTCGGCTGGAACCGAACAAAATCAGCAAGGAAAAAAATGTCACCAGCACACCTTTGGACCCATATTGGTGATCCTCGTGTGCTGGTGACATTTTTTCCTTGCTTCGTTTGCACACAGGTCTCTCGAACAGAAGAGAAGTTCATAGGGCACATCTGCCTTGGAGACCATTGGGGGGAGACAGTGGAAGTAGGCACTAAAGCAACATTTCCAGGAGCAGAAGCCGACTCTGGGCAGGAAAGAAGAGAACAAGAAGGCGCTATTAAGTGCAGTACATTGATGCACTGCACTTGGAAGCGCCTTCTTGTTCTCTTCTGTCACACAGAGGTCTCTCTCGTCAGCTTTCCCCGATGATCACTGGACAGGAATTGTTGGCTGAGACCCGGTGACTGACATCCCTAGCTTCCAATGGAGGTGCGGGTAGGATAGCACGTGACCCCCTACCCCGAAATGCAAATCACACACATATACACACGCGATTTTGCAGAGCCCGGCAGCAGTGGTTCTACTATAGGGCAGAAGGCAAGCGTTTAATCAGCAATTTTTGGCAGGAAAAAGACCCCAGAATTAGTGGGCTTCTAGGAGTGTTTTTAGCTGTAAAAACGCTCTAACGATGGTAAAACATGACAAAAAATTGATGTTTTTAACCCAAAATTTTATTTTTTTTGCGTAAAACACACTAAAAAAAAAATGCAAATGTGGAAAAACGCATCTAAACACTAATGCAAAAAAAAAATGCTGAAAAGCTTGCGTTTTTAACGTGACTTTATACAGCTAATGCTACCGGCGTTTTTAAACCGCTCAGTGTGCATGAGGGCTTCGCTGAATGGAACGTTCAGGTGTGGTCATTCCAAATCAGATTGTACCATGTACGTATGAGCAGCTTTTCAAAGCTGAAACCATGAAGCCCCATATCATTACAGTAGGTATATCTTCGTATCGGCCACTTACCTGCGATGTCCCACAGCTGCAGCCTGACCAGAGTCTTGCCGTCCCAGTTGATGACTTTCAGGGCGAAGTCCACTCCTATGGTGGCCCTGTAGTGCTGGGAGAAGAGCTGGTGGACGTATCGCTTGATGATGCTGGTCTTCCCCCACCCCCAGCTCCCCAATCACCAGCACCTTGAACAGGTATTCCCTGCGCTCCGGGACCCCGGCAGACGCTCCCAGCTCTCCGCTGGCCGACTCCCCAGCCATGAGCTCTCTGTGTGTAGATAGAAGGCAGAGTGCTGTGCACACCACGTCTACTGCCCGACAGCCCGCACCATGGACACTCCCCCGCACTCCTCCGCCGTGTACATCAATAACATGCCGAGTATTGTGGCAACAAAAACTTCCCCACAACTCGGCTCCAAACCTTCTCCCTTCTACACGCCCCGCCCATCCAGTCACACAGCCAACCACCTGACAGCGGGTCACATGACAGGAAGCTGGGTCCAGGGAGGAGTCTTCTCTCACGCTGCATCTCCGCATCCCTCTAGACGTGGAGGCTGCATGGTTCCTCTAATCCATACTGATGTCTCCGGGGTTGGCAGATACTACTAGAAGACGTTTTTGGTTGGGGCGTCTTTTGGCTGTAACCGCCCCCCCCCAGAAGTAGTGGGTTTCTAGAGGAGTCATTTAGCTGTAAGAACGCTCTAAGGCGGTAAAACATGCGTTTTTTGAGCAAAAGAAAAAACTTTTTGAGCGAAAAAAACTGCAAACGTGACAAAAATTGTCTAAACGCTACGCCCGCATGCACACTGGATGTTTTGATAATGTAGGTAACCAGGGGCGGACTGACAACTCATGGGGCCCCTGGGCAATAAGGGATCATGGGGCCCTGTGTCCTTGCCCAAACTCAAAAAAGCCTATGAAAAAGGTACCAGGGGCATCTCATGGGGCCCCCTACTGACCCCGGGCCCTCGGGCAGTGTCTGAGTTTCCAAATGGTCAGTCCCCCCTTTGTGGTAACGTTAGTTGTGTAAACTCTCGTTAAAAACGTGAGGTTTTTCAGCTTGCTTGCATTAGTGTTTTGCTGCGTTTAGTGCCACTTTTTTACATTTGCGTTTTAGCATTTTTTTACAAAAAAATGGGGGATAAAAAAAGCAGGTTTGCAGCGTTGGAGCATTTTTACAGCTAAAAAAACTCTAGAAACCCACTATTCCTGTTTTTGTTTTCCAGCCAAAAAACACCTGTCACAAAACTAGGGATGCACCGAAAAGAAAAAAAGCACCGATACAGGTGCCAAAAAAACCCCCGCCCCTTCTCGCCACTCAATAGGTCAGCCTTACCTGAGAAACCATTGATCCCGGCACTGGGCATAGAGATGAGTGAAGGAAAGATGACTTCCATTCATCTCTATGGCTTTGGAGAACAGGAGTGATGTCACTTCCTGTTCCAGCCATTTTTTTTAAAGCACTTGATCAATACTTTTGTTTTTATCCAATGCTTAACCACTTGCCGACCAGCCACTGCAGAA